GTGTTTCTCTTATTATGAAGAAGGTACAGCAGGAAAGATAGAAGAGTTTCAGCCCACAGTACCCCTCCATGTCTGACAGAGTATTAACTACCTACAGCAGCGCCATGTCATTTCTGTCTGGATCATTAGTGGTGCCCACTGAAGTGATTTTAACACTGAAGTAACCAGCAAAAATATGTGATAAACAGAAAATTCTGAATCTTCTTCAAGTTCAGTCTGATCCTATGGGTTGTCTGTGCCCAGCTGGACATAATTCTGAAAGTGTAAGTCACATTACATGATGTGCTGGCCATCTAGAAGCCCTACCTTCAATACCAACAAAAACCTTTCCCTTTGCTCTTCTGCCAGATTATGCCGTTGAGTGTTTCAGGGCAGTTAAGTTAAACTAATAATAGGTATTGAAAAAGAGTGCTATGGAAAATGCCAGCTTTCTTTGTACATCATGTATGTTTACAGGGGCTCAGAATAACAATGAAGCCCAATATTTTGGTGTAGTTTTTCAGGCAAAGTAGGGTGAAGCTGCCCTGCATCAAGTATTCCACTAGAGAGCTCCAGTGCAGCAACAGAATCTGGGATGCTATTGTCACCTTGGTTATGAGCTCTCCACATGCTCCTTAGTGGATTGCTCAAGTGAACTCAGTATGGGGCCCTCCCAGTCAGGGACAGTGAAGAGGACGAAGGTTATATATGACAAAACTCTTAGCAAGATACACTGTACAGGTCCTCCAAAGACCTTTCAGTTTTATGTTTGAATAACATGAAGAGCATGTATGCCCGTACCTCAAGCCACAGGCCACCACCATACCCCCAGGCCCAAACTGATAAATGTGTTCTGTCTGTCTCTCTGTCTCTTTCCCTCTCCCCTGAAAAACCTTTTTCTTCCCTCATTTTGCCTCTGAGGGTTTTGCTTAGAAATCAGTTTAGAAACCAAAACTTTTTTTTTTGTTTTAAACCTGAAATCAGTGTTTTTTTGTGGCCTGAAGCTTAAACCTTAAAGGAAATAACAAATACATCATTGTTATAAAGTAAAAACACTGTTGAAATAAAACCACACACTTCACAGTAAGAAAGAGATGGAAAGCAATTTCTGTATGCAGACTGAGAAGGCTGTTTTGAAATGCCCAAGCCTAGTTGCTTCACTTATTTGGAAAAATACTGAACCAGCCATACAAACACATCTATATTGAATATATTTATAAAGAAAGTTTTCTGTTAGCTTTAGAACTGTCAGGTTTAGAACTAGTGTTCTAAGGAAGAGAAGAGCTATGTCCTCTAATGGAAACATGAAATTAAATGAAAAGCCTAAAGTTACTCTTAGATGTATAAGGGTAATGTAATCTAGGGGAGATTTCAGAGAAGGGCAGGTTACACTGTCCTTCACTTCATGCTGTGCTGTATCTTCCCTTTTACATGTTATGTAAACCATTTCATAGAAGGAGTTCTGGCATTAAACTTTGAATCACAAGATCCATCTTTCTTTATTGTATATTTTTCCTCTGGGTTTTCTCACAGTGACTTCCTGGACCCTGGTCTTACCTGGCACAGTGATTTACCACCATGCATATAGGCAACTGGGACAGGTCAAACCTTGGAGTTAGCACTGACTTTTGCTAATCCAAGAAATAGACTGGGGTAAGAGTGGAGAGTGTGGTGGTTGGCTGGAGCTTAGAAACTCCCACTACAAGGAGGGAAGAGGAAGCTGGTGGGAAAATGTGTGGAGCTGGGCTTGCTGCTTCTGCTATCTCCCAGGGGAAAAAGAGGATGGTGCCTGGTGCCTGGGAGGAACTCCTCTTCCTTCTTTCTGCAGCACTACACACCAGCCCACACACCGCAGAAAAACAGACCATCTTTGTAAGGCTCTAGCATAATAAAAACAGGGTAGGAGAGAAGGACAGCTGTTTTCTATGCTATAATTGCTTTCCAAAGTAACCGTCTGACTAAATCAACCATGTATAGGAGCCAGTTAATATTGCTTTGCTCCTCAACTGTGATTGCTAAGTCTTTCTGTTGGAGGGAAGAATATGTCGATCTAGTTTCTCAGAGCAGTGTTGACAGAAATGGCTGTGGGCAGCTACTCAAGCTATCACTGATACATCTCAAGCACAATCTATTTCTGGCAAGGCAAAGATCAGTATGACCCAATTTACCTTTCTTTAAGTCAGTAACATGTTTATTGGTATTAGTCCAATCTGATGAGAGTTTCCTTTTGGGAAATCCATCAGGTATTTCCATAAAAACTGCAAACCATTGTGCTGCTTCATTTGGAACATTTAGTACTGTGGAGTCCGTGTCTAGAATCTGTTCCTGCTACACCTCTTTTCAACAACTGTCTCCCAAAATGCCAAGATACCTTTCTTCCTTGTTTGGATTCACAAATGCTCTTCTTCTGGCCTTCAGGTTCAAGCTCAGGAGTTTGAGATTTGAGTGTATTATAAGAAAGGGTTCTATGGATTCACAGAGATAACATATAAGGTTTATTGAAATTTGTTCATCAGCATAGGGACATGTCACTAATGGGAGTAGTTGTTACCCAGGAATGATCAGAAGGTCCCTCTTTCCCTTTCCTAGTAGAAGTAGATAAATTTATGTCCGTGTTGACAGCTCACTGCTGTCACTTAGATAACACACCAGTGCACATTTTTTAGAACCAGAATGTACCTTTCCCCCACTCTTTTAAAACTTAAATGGATTTTAGTAAGACTGGGTAATGTAGTCATGGCTATTGTCACGGACACAGCTGACATCCATAGGCACCCATTCATGGCTGCATCCATCCAGGAATGCTTAGCAACCTCTTTTGATAGTACATTTCCTCATATTGAATACACTTTACATACTGTGCCTTGGTTCCTGGAGGCTGTAAACAGGGTCAAGGACTTCCACTTCTCAGGGATGGTTTTCTGTTGCCTTGCTTGTGATCCTCTCAAGCAGTGAATGCTTCTTCTGAAATTTTCTTGTGCCTTCTGAACAACTGCTGGCTATTGCTTTCTCGAAGGAAAGTGTGTGGGGAATTCCCTATAACGGACTGAATGTCTCTGGTTGCTCCTTCTCATTAGGATTTTCTGGTTGACATAATTAACAACTTTAGGTATTTCCTGAGGTGCTTTATGAAAGTAGTAATTTTAAATGCTCCTTGTCTGAAACCACCATTCAACTCTCACCTGAGCAGTGGCTGTGTTTATTAGCAGTGCAATTTCATGGTGGGATATTTAACTTCTTTTGAAAGAGGGCAAAGGGATTTTACTTAGAAAAACACAATTTCTCTGATGCTTTTGGTTTGAGTAAGTTCTATATTTTGTTAATTCGTTTATCATATAAATAAATTTCCTATTTTACATCTGTTTTATATTTCATATAAAGAGTATAAAAATGACAAAAAATTATCATTAACTATGCTGAAATGATGTATATGTATGATTTTTAGTAACCTTTAATGTTCTAGTTGGATAGCTACTGGATATAGACTAGTAAAGTGTAATTAGTGTTCTCTCATCTCTGATTTATTTGCATAGATTTGTACCATAAAAAACAGTGAAGTAATTTGAAATTTATGTAGACTTTACATACTTTTTGTAAGAATCTCATTTCTTAGCAATCTGACTTTAGGAGCTTTTTTTAATAAGTAATGTAGATGGGTGCTTGTCTACAAAACAATTTTGAAACTTTGATATCAGGCAAAACCAGAGTCATTATAATGTTTTCTTCTGAACAAATTATTTAGGAACATTTTCATTTTGATGTATCAGGTCACAATTCCTGAATTTAATCTTTTAATGCTTCCTAGACTGAAGTTCTGAAACCTCCCTTACTGCAGTAACAGATACTGGAGGGTGTAAGATTATACTTTTTAGTCCATTAATTTGCCAAGTTTAACTGAATGAATTTTCATTGCTGTGTCTGTGAAGTCAGGAAAGCAAATTCGGAAAAGATACATAAGGAAAACTTAGCAGTGCTTTCATAAATGTGAAAAACGGGAGCCTGGTCTGACCCCTGAATTACTGTTATAATGGTGTTATTCTACAGGCTTTAGGGAATTTATTCCAAATCTGCTCTGCATCAGTGTAGAATATCCTTCTGTGTAGTTAACTGTTATGAAACAAGAACATCAGTGGGGTTTCCAGGGGTCTGCAATATCAAAGCTGCAAGAACAACATAGGGTGTTTAATTAACCTTAACATATCTACTTGTATGCAATGAGCACAGTCATAGAGTATGTGGTTGTTTCTATTTTCTCCCTCATACTTTGAAACTGTAAGAGTGAATTCGAGAAATGTAATATCCTATAGGTGAGTATAAGAGGGTGTAAGCTTGAGTAGCAATTACTTTACTACAACATGGTAAGCAGATAGTTCTTTGTAGTAAAATCTTGCTGCCACATGGTCTCACAGATAGATAGTATTTCAGAGCAGCAGTTATTCTGGTATCCCTGCATTTCCCACAACTATAGCTCAGCAAAACTCAGGCGTGTTACTAGAGCACAGGTCCTTCCCCCCTGATTGCTCTGTGATTAGATTCCACTTCCTGCTTACTTAACTCAAAAATGTGATTATCCTTCAAGATGCAGGAAGGCTCAAATTTAGATACAGTTGGAAACCACATGACTTTTTCTTCTTTTTTCCCCAGTAAAACAACAGGGACGAGCTGTTTACCCAAATACCGGCACACTGTTCTGGACAGCAGTACATGAAACGCAGCTGGCAGTTCTGTGCTGCTCCCAGAGGCACAGCTGGAGGCTTAACAATGACAACCTGATTCTATCAAGCACTAGAGAAAGCAAGCTGCTTTAATGGCCACAGCAGCCACCTATCATGTTTTCTTTAAAGGTAGTAAGAATAGTTCCATTTATGTGAACAGGATTTCAGTCCAGTGTTTCTTTGAAATAGTTCCTACTATATAAGAAAGGCCACTTATGCAACTGCTGGATTGCACATTTCGAAACCTCTCACTCACAGTAAGTTCATGTTACAGTCTCTGTAGCTCCTCATGCAAATAGTTCTTACTGGCTATGAACTACCACAGCCAGAGGGCAATTAATGAGCAAATCACTGGGTCTGTGAACAGTCTTTGCTAATTGCAGGTCACAGAAGAAGATTATCATGCTTGGGGAACCGAAAAAAAAAGAGTTCTTTATCCTCACACATTGGGTATTAAATAACTCACTTAGGAAACTTTGATTTAGAGCATTTCAGTCCATGTAGCAGTACATAATCAACTCTGTCTTTTTCAATGCAAAGGGGTCTTTCTGGCCATGTTCTGCTACCACAAACAATATTTAAGGTAACTTTTGAGTAATCTATACATGTCACTTTGCAAAGCAAACAGTGCACTGGATTAATAATTAAAGGAACTGTTCATAGCAGCTGATAATTTTCTCCTGTAACAGAATGCTGGGAAAATGCTGGTGTTATAGAATGAAATGCTCTCTGGTTACCTACCAAGTAGGTGAGCAGCTGGGATTGCCTTCAGACTGCCCAGCTTGCTGCCTGCCTTGTTCTCAGCCCAACATTCTTGCAGCACAGTTTCTCCCACAGTATATTTGTCAGAAATTTACTATACATACGGTTGAATTATGCATATATTTAATCATTAACTTCAATAATGAAAATGTCTTATAAGTTTGTACTTCTAAATATATGGTTTTGCTCAGAAGTATTGCATACATACTCTTTAGAGTATCTTGTCAAACAAATCTCAGAATTCCATACCATACATGCAGTTGTTGACAAACAATAATAAACCAATTATATTTCTTTTTTATTCTTGGAGAACATAAACCATAATTCACATCCCTTACATAACAGATACACACACACATATACATATATAAAACTGACATAAAATAATTAATAATAGAATGTAATACCCATTTTCCACATAAGAGATCTCACATATCTTTTCTTATCCAAGGCTGAAATGTCATTTATATGATTAAGTAACAAAGGTCTTGTAAAAATAACAAGCAATATTCAAAGTGCACCTTATTGTTTGTCAGTTCCCCTATTCCTGATAAGTTTAGTTAAAAATTAAAAAAGTTTCACTTGAAACTCTCCTTGCTAGATTATTTTTTCTGAAATGAGATAAAACACAGGGGCAACTATCATGTTCTCTGTGCCACTGTTAAATTTAAAGCTACCTATTTTTCCTTACGTAGTAATACATTTAATCAGTCAAAAAGATGGGGGTGCACCAGTGTCATGGTAAAGGGAAGGAGTTTGCAGATTTGCTTTCAATTCTGGTAGCAGCTATTTGGTCTTCGGACCAGGAAAGAGGTCCTGGCTGAAGCTGGTCGAGCCTGCGGTGTGATGAGCCAGCCAACGGACCCCTTTCACATTGCAAGCTGCAGAATTTAATGTGATTACTTTTGAAGTCAGCAGAGTAATTTGGGCTTCACTAGAACATATTTGGTTTTCACGAAGATGTATATATCTTTAAATGTGGGTTGCCAGATTAGAGCAGAAGTGAAAATCCAGTGGTATGTGGAGTGGACATGTTTTTGGCTATAAGCCAGCTTTGAAGCGTTCCAGTGCAAGGGCACCACTGAAGGATAGCCAGCTTTTTAGCTGAAGGATGGCTTTGAGATAGGACTTGGTTTACAGCTAAAGACTGAGGTGATACATTATATAAGGCATACACATTAAGCAGAGAGGAATGATTGACAATGAAATTATGAAAACGTATGAAGGCAATTTTAGGTAGCAACTGTGTGCCACCCAGATGAACTAAATGTGTAGCTGTGCTGTACTGCACTACCCACAGAGTGGAGAATATGTTGTAAAACAGTGGCACTCTTCTTGAATCCCTAAGAAAAAGGAAGAGCATTAGAAACAGGAAATCTGATTCCACAGACCTCTGACTGTTTTCATGACTTTTGTCATGAACAGTAGTACTGACTGTGTATGCTGAGTGCTTGCCATCAAGATCCTCTGTTGGGGAAACATCAGGTTGCAAGTTTTTAGCCTGTCAGCATAATCCATGCTCTTCCTAACACAGTCCTGACAGAATTAGATGTACCTAAACTGAAAGTCTCCATAGGCTTTAAAGTCTGAATTGAAACGTGAGTAAAATGTCATCAAAATTAGTACAGAAGTCCTCATCACAAACCCATGTCCCCATGGGAGACTGTTTGTGGGAGGGGAAGATAGCTCTGTGCAAACAGTACAAGAAATCTTTAGATCCCATTGGTGTATAAAAGTTATAGAAGCCAGAGAGATCTGTGTCAGGAAAGTCTCATTCCCTAAAAATTGTACCAATTAGTCTTTCTAGTTTGAAATTGTATGAACTTTCTTAATAATATGAAATTGTTTTATTTTTCTTGAAAGATATATTGTTTACACTGAATACTGTGTAGTTATGTACTTAAGTCAGCGTAACTAAAGGGCCCCAGCTCATTGCAAGGAGGAGAGCAGCCCCCATGCTCAAGATAAGGACCTGTATTTCCTGGAATCTTAAAACCAGTCTAAGTAACACCAGCCCCTCCAATGCCTCTGTGAAACTCTCTCATTATTGGTGTCATGGGTGAGTGAAAGAAGAAAAACCAACTCCATGGACATCTACATGTCCTTGTAAAAAGTCACTCTCCAGATTTCTTGTAGCCTCTCCTTTAGGTGTTGGAAGACTGTTATAATGTCTCCCCTGAGCCTTCTCCAGGCTGAACAATCCCAGCTCTCTCAGCCTGTTTTCATAGGAGAGGTGCTCCAGCCTTCTGATCATCTCTGTAGCCCTTCTCTAGACGTGCTTGAGCAGATCCACATTCCTCTCGTGCTAAAGACTCCAGAACTAAATGCAGTACTACTAGTGGGGTCTCATGAGAGGAGAGTAGAATAAAGGGGGAGAATTAGCACTCTAGACCTGCTAATATGCTATCAGCAACTCAATTTTATCCTCTATTTTAGTCTTTGTTATTTTGAGCACTCTTGTAAGTTCCTCTGATTTATACTTCCATTAATTTAATTTAATTTAATTTATTTATTTATTTATAACTATAAATACTTTTGCTGTGAAGATAACAGTTTTGGGGACTTTAATATTTACTATTTGAAGGAGACTCTGGCTCATGCAGATGTATTCCAGCTGACAGAAATTATTGCTAAATCAGTTCAGTCCTGAATTCCAACATACTTGGGCTGAACAATCTGAGCTGGTAGACGCAGCATATCAGCATAAGCAGCAGTATGGTCTTGTGAAAATGATCCTTTACACAATCTTCTACATTTACAAGTATGGCTTTTTTTGTTCCCTGGGTAGAGATAAGAAACAGATGGTGATACTTTGGATCCAGATCTCTTTCTAGATCTGATCCTTAGCTCTACAAAAAAATGTTGCCATTTATCTGAGCTGTGACAAAGCTGCAGTTTAATCAATAGTGAATGATGAAGTCATATTTGAAACCAATTGTCAGGACATGGGTATCCTTCCAGGAGGTGCTTAGTAATTTCTTACTGATTCTGTTTGACTCTGAAGAAGCTCTACAATTATTTATATTATGTTACAAGCGTAACTATGAGAATGGGGTTAACTTGCCTAAGGAGCTGTTGGAGGCCATGGTTAGATATTAGGTATAAACATTAGATATGCATTTAAACTAATTAAGCAGCTTTTACATGCTTACCATTTGATGTGTTCTCTGTGTTTGCACTGCTTTGAATTCACTGCATTAGAGAACATAGCCAGCTGGAAACTAACCCAGGATAAAAGGGTTTTGGTTGTAATGACCGAGAGGAAGAGACAGATCAAGGGTTGAGAGCAACTACCCAGTGACAGATGAGGAATGCTTAAAATAACACAGCCAATGAAGAAATGAACACTCAAGACTTTTTTCTGTTATGTATGTGCTGAACTAGTTTTCTAGGAGATCTTCTGTCACAGAACAGAAACTTCAATATCCTTCTCCCTGTTCAGAAACCCTTTGCTGCCCAGGAGAAGCTCATTTTTCAGTTTTGAATTGCAGCAGTCCTTAAGCTGTCCATCGGCCAACGGGACACTTTCATCACCCAGAAATGGTGTTCAGGCTCACCATCTGACGTAAGTTGTCTTAGAATTTAATTAAGCAATGTGCAGCCATCATCATCTAAATGCTTGTAACACACAGTTGCAACACGTTTAACAACTTGCTTCTTAGAGACAAATCCTTTGTGCTGTGGGCTCTTTACATCTATCGCTTAGACTTTGTATTTAGAAGACAGCATTCTTAATTTATTCCCTTCAAAGAAACTGTTTTTTAAAAGCACTTATGATTTCTTCACTGAGCATTCAGGTAAATATATGATATTAATTAATTAATTAAGCGTGCTCTTTCTAAAGATCTCACAGAAGGTTACAAAAGTTTTATGAAATTTGTCCTTAGAACATCAACATGGTTTGGAGGAAGACATTACTTTTTTTTTTTTTTTTTAACTGATTAAAAGTATTAAATTTGTAGAATAAATCCCTTGTTCAAGGTCCAGAAAAAACCTCTGACTGAGTACAGACTCCAAGTTCCACCAGAAGCAATGAGTTTAAACATTAGGTGTATGTATCAATAGAAAAATATTTTTCCGACTTCATAATTTGACCATAGCATTTTAGAAAACTAGAACTCTAGACTGGGAAAAAGCATTCAAGTCTTTCTCTGTGGGTTATAGTCTTGGTACAGACAGCTGTAGAATTATGTAATGCACAAAGCTGTAGGATTGTGCAAAGGTAGCAGCAGCAAAGATAATCTTATTTTGGGGTGGTTGTTCCATCAAGCTCTGAATTCAGGTGAGTTTTAAGTGAGTCTGTAACAGTAGAGGGGGAAGGAACGTGTTCCTCATGAGGAGATATTGACTCCAAGGTGACCTGCACTCATGAGTTTAAGGATTTAGAAAGGTTTGACTTCTGCTGTCAGGAATGTACTGTAGAACAGCCTCTCCAGACCTCCAAACACTTTAATGACTCCTGAAGCAGGAAGACTTTTCTGTGTTCGAACAAGAACATTGAGCAGAGCAACTAAAGTTAAAAAAGAACCCTGAGCAGTCTGAACAACTTAGGAAAGGAGGAGATATTAAGGTAAGGTGGTGGGGCCCTGTTGCCCTCTACTTAACCACTATTTCACCCAGCCAAGGCTCAGATATGAAAGACCATGGTGCTAAGTTCAATACGGTAGGCAGTGACCTGTGTGTGTTTTAAGATGGGAAAGGAGCAGTAAAGGAAAAATAAGTAGTGGAGTATGTTTGATCAGTTCACTAGAGAAAGAAGGGTTGTAAACTTAAGACCGCAGCAAAAAATAGCAA